CCAAACCCTTGAACGTTGAACCCCAAAATCCAAAACGCGGAAACCCACGGACGGGAAACATTGGCCTCTGTGTTTTTCACGAGGTAAGCCTTGCCAAAGGATCCTTTGCCAAGCACCTGCAGCATCCAGCAGCTCGGTGGGAACATGACCGTGTGCTTAGCGGGGAGGGTGGGGCCTCAAGAGTGCTAGGGAGGATGAAGGAATGTTGGGGATTGCTAGCTTAAGACCTGTTGAACCGTATCGCACTTTATGAGACGGCCCGTCTTATCTGAAACACACAGGAATTTGGTAAGCCCTACCCACAAATTCGGATCGTGTGATAGTCATCTGATAGCAATTGCAACTACGAGATAATTATAATGTCAGACAACTTTTTGGTCCAACTATTGGGGGCTTTGGGTTTCAAACTTCCCTTGATATTAACACCAAGCTGAGGTGAGCACCTTGATCCTCTGGTACTTCTCATCCATCTTGCTCTACCCGCAAGTGGGGCAAAGGGGTAATGGGACAGCTGAGAAGAGTTTCCCAAGTATAGTGGCACGGGCAAATACATGCTTCAACGGGAATGGGAATGCATGTGGCACTTTAATTGGGAGGGCTGGAATTTCCAGGCACCAACTTAATGTGATTGGCAAGACTCCGGAAGCTCCGCTCATGCCTGGCGCATGCCTCGCGGAAGGTCAGGGTGTACACTGCTACTGTATTCTGTTATCACCTTTGTGCAATGTACCAGCTTGAGCTTCCTCAGAAAGGCCTGACCGGCCTCGTGTTAAGCTAACGAGATCGGAAGTAGGTATGAGCTGTCACTGTTTTGCAACGAATCAGCACTGAGTGTATAGACCGCTTGGGGATTCCCTGCTCTCTCCAGCAGGGGACCCTAGCGGAACCTACTAAAAGCTTGAGTGAAGCAGCGCAGGGAGATTTGCAGGCTGGCCATGTTTGCACGGTAACAGCTCAGCGTGCGAGAATGCTTGCAAGTCGTTTTTCAAGCATCCGGCATGCATCAGCAAGTCTCACGCTTTCACTGTATTTCACAACCACCTGCCGATCTAGTCCTGACCACCCGCCGATCTAATCCTGTTCCAAGAATAACTCGCAACGTTCCACACCTAGTCTGCAATACTGATGCGGCAGCACACATAAGTGTTCACCTCACAGTGATCAACCCGTTTACAATAACAACATTCCAATCCTGAAGCACAGTTCGAGTCAGACTACTTACAGTAACAGAGTACTACAATAACACAACCCTAACCCCTCCCAAAAAAATCCAGAACTTAAGAACAGTAAAAAGAACTGGATAAAGCGAAAAGTTGGAACTGGCACAAGAGGCCTTGAAGCTCCCGTGCTCAAACTCAATTGCTGATACTCATACCCCTACTATCCCGTTTACCATCACTCGTACTACTGGTTGACTACTGAGATTGATTAATGTATACACGGCCCGAACCACCCAAGCAAGCGAGACTGTTAATTGCGGGGAAACGTCCCAAGCCATTGATCAGCAAATAGGGGGACGAGGGGAGGCTGTTTTTACTGCGAAATAAACATTATCAGACATATCAGCGATGTTTAAGGCCCCAGGATTCCGATAAATATCAATCAGCAGATCCCGCAAGCAGCTGCTGCGAACTGCAGGAAGCCCACTTGGGAGCACATCCACGCCGAATCCACGCCGAAGCACGGTGGTCCTGAACACGCATGGACAGAAGTTCATGGTACTGCTGAAGAGCCTGTAAAGGCACGGCAACCAAGACGTCGTGGTCATGATGTCCTTGAGCCCCATCCTGCCACTGAGGTCCTTCGCCCTCTTGGATTTGCAGCTGTAGTAGCTGCAGCTGCATCTGAGAAGCGGCGAAGCCGGAGCAACATGTTTGCGTTCCCATTTCGCCAGCTGCATCATGCTGCGTGGTCTCCACATCCGGTGGAAGGACCATACGCATGCGGAATATGTCCGCAATAAGCGCCGCCTGCATCACGGGATCGTCCGTTCTCGGTGGCGCTGGATCAAGGTGACCAGACGAAGAGGACGAGCAGGATATTGAAATCTCAGCCAGCGGCAAAGCAATTTGCACCCCCCTTCCTGAGCGCTCTCACGTTGCCGTGCCAGCCTAGAGCGTGGACGCCTGCGTGCTCGGCCGCCAAGGCCAAAGCAACAAACAACAGGAAGAAAGCGCACGCAATAACGGATGTCAGCAAGGCAGAAGCTCTGTGGAAGCGGCAAGGCAAGTCGATACATGCACGTACGGATGGACATAAATGAGTACAACGCGACAAAGTGCAGGAAGTCAACGCCTTTTTCATCGGCACACGCAGCATCGGCTATTCAAAGAAGGCTCGGCGCGCTCCTGCTGGCCTCGGTGCTCCATCCCACGCACGCCAGTCTGCAGCAAAATCCACCGGCGTGACGACTGAAAGCTGAACCAACACAGAGTCCCAGGTGCCTTATGTCATGGCTTGAACAGAGGACAGTGTCTTGTTGAAGCTACTGTCAAAAGCAAACAGCATGAGTCAACCAGCTGAACATCTGGACAAGACAGGCGCTGCAGAAGATGCCACGTTTGAGAGCCCTGCAGGCATGTCACCCACGCGGCTTCTTGGGCCCCGTCTAGGCTTGCCTACATGCGCTTTTTGATCTTTTAGGTCTGGCGCCTCTAGTCCAGCTTCTTGCAAAGCCCCACCTGACATGCACCCAAAAATTGCGTAACAAATCTACCATATCACACTGAAGCTTCGTGAACGGACGCGGGAAGGCAGGAAAATCATGGGCACAGGCACAGACCTGTCCCACTCCTGTTTCACAAGACTGCCTTGAAGAGCCAAAGTACCTTTGTGTAAAATTGTGTCGATACGAGAGCAGTCCCATCAAACAGACTGTTGCAATGTTTGTAAACTTTTGTTTTTGCTTTCCACCCTGTTTCCAGAGGCTACCCACTGCGTCCAACAGCATCTCTAGTTGCTACTGCCGGGTTTTGGGTCAAACTTCGCACGGATACGGACATAGATGCGGCGTTTGCTGCGTCATGGATCCTGGCTCACTGAGATACTCCATCACAGCAACGTCCGTCAACTTACAGCGAGGGTCGACAACTGAAGTTGAAGGAGATGCATGCATGCCAAGCTCACCTTCACTCCGTGACCAATACTTATCCACAGAGAGAGATAGCTGATAGAGAGAGAAAGAGAGAGAGAGAGAGAGAGCTAGCAGAGAGCAAGAGAGGCACACTGCCTGCAGAGCCCTCTGGGAGAACATCAAGCTCAGTGCGCCAAAGAGACATGAATCAGCACAACCATCCAGACCGCGATCCCCACAATTCCAAGCAGGTCTGCTGGTTCTCTGTGGCCAAGGCTCTACTCCATCTGTTTACCGTCATTGTCATTGTTATTGCTGTTTTTGTTTGAACAGAACGATTTCCGAAAAATTAGGAATCGCGTTGGGGCCCCTCGTGGAAACCACCTTACGAGCTACACTCAACATTCTCCAGAGAATTAACGGACATGGGCCTCTTCTTAGGGACTGTATGAGGAGCTATACTAAACTAGAAGAAGGACCCCTACGTCCACCCTTAATACTGACAGGACCACATATACATAGTCCGCTCTCTTTTCTTTGCACGGGTGCTTGCGGCCGCTGACGTGCGCCGGAGCCTACGGCAGCGCAGGTCGGGATTGCGGCCTAAACAAACCCCCTTCCCCCTGAGTAATGTTGAGCCCTCATACCCCATTCTACCAACGCATTCCCCACACGTATCAAATTTCCCTATAGTGGGTGGGTGGTTTTGATATCAGTGGATTAGGAAAGCAGCCTTTTTTTTTAAAGCGACAGTGTCTCAGTAGGAACCTCAGATTTTGAGAGTTTGCCAGTTGGAGTGGGAATTTCAAGCTTCGGACTAGTAGCTGGAATGCTCATGCAAGTGGGACTCCCACAGTGGGACCGCATATCTACAGATTGGGAGACGTGGGCAGCTTGACTAATAAGAGGATCTTTATAACCCCGAATCCCAAATGTAGGACCCGATGGTTGTCAATTGCAGGGTGCTAGCTTTGGAATTGGGATTGCCCCAGCTGGATCGGTCCCTCCCGTAGCATCCCCAGCATTTATCCGCATTTTCCATTCCATTCGTTACGAAGCGCCTGACCACATGACAATGTCATGGTTTTAGCTCCCGTGTATGATTGCGGTACAGGGTACCTCAAAAAGACCTCAACATCTTAATTATGTAAGCCCCTATACACCCCTGTACAGTCCTGGTTTTCATTTCATGTCCATGTTCTTTTCCATTTGCCAATCCATCATTGGCAGGAATCATCCCCGCAATGCATCCGCATCAGCTGTCAACCCCAAACCCCAAACCCCAACCATTCAACCCCACACCCTAAACCCTCAACATTAAAGCTTCTAATCCTAAGTCCCTATCTGGTGGCCCCTGAACTCCAACCACACCTCCAGACGGCCTGTGCTCAAGATGAGAGGTTTGAGGTGGTGGGCAGAAGCAGGAGGAGCCAGCAGCAGCAAGGAGCAGGAGTAGAGTAGATATAGAAATCATGGAAGTAATATTGCTCAGAACAACAAACAATAACTCCCCTATGGTTTTGGAGATTCCTGGGCTCTTTAGCTCCCCTTATTATATTGATATAGACTATCCCTAGCTCCTTAGCTCCCCCCAAAAATGTGGGTAGATAAACCTTAAACCCAAGTAAATTACACGATTCAACCATCGCGGCAGGCAGCATGCCAATGACCAAGCTAGCCCGACCCTTCCTCCAACAAAATAATGGAACGGCGCTTCCTCGCCTGTAGCCTCCGATTTTGATTTCCTACGCATCCGTCGGGATTCGGGATGAACCTTACAACCTGCAAACCAACCCCAAACCACTTACTGGTTCTTAGTGGGGAATTGGGAATACATTATACAGAGATTACATGGGGATTATATTCCTTCCCTTCTTCCTTAGTAAGAACCAATAAGATCAAACCCAACCGCAGCCAATTTTTGCGCCTCGCTGAAGCAGATGTTCCTTGTGTGGCGCAGGGTAAGGGCATCTTAGCTTGTTACTTGCAGGTGGGTAGTTCCCACAACTATGGGCACCTTTTGGTACAGATTATGTTACGGCACCGAATATTGACGGATACCAAAATGGAATCACAATTTGGAAACTACCCAGGTGTCTAGGAACGACTTACCAAGATAGTACTAGTCGTCTGACTGTCGAGGCCACGGTTCCAGTGACAACCCTTAACCCTATACCCTAAAGCCTAAACCCATTATAGTAGTTTCCATGTTCTTTTCCATTACCCCCACACCCGTATCGTTGCTCAGGATTGGGGGTATGGTGTGGCCTTCCCCCCATGGTTTTATAGTGGTTTTAAAGCCTTTCTGTGTATTGAACAACCATTTTTACTAGTTTACAACAACGGCAATGTTGAATCCAGCTGATATAGTTTAGGCTTAATTTGCTGGTTGTTAGCAGGGAATGAAGGAATGGAAAAGAAAATGGAAGCTACAATTATTTATTGTTGAGGGTTCTATAGGGCCACTATAGGGATCCATTCCTCCATTTTGATCTAACAACCAATGGGCTTCAGCCCCACCATCGAGACACACATCCCAGCGGTTGGCGGAATGGGGAATGCTAGTTTCCCGAACTAAGGGGCACCCAAAATATTCTAATCCTTATCAGTAGGGCCCCCAAAAATATACACATTTTTTTTGGAAACCCCTGTATAGCAACTGTTAATCGAGATTGCGTGGCGGCTGCTCCTGGGAGACATTCCTCGATTCCAACCACCAGTGAGTTGATCGATCGCAAAACCTGCTCCCACTGACAACAACACTCGTATAGTGTCTTACCCAAACAGAATACTGATTACAAATTAGGGGAAGGAGCCCAAGATCTGCCCATGAAGGGCGTATCTTTGCGTGATATGAAGAACTAGGATGCAAAATCTATTCGTGGCAGAGTCATCTTGCTCATGTCTCGATGGCAGCCTTGTCTTCTTGAGAGAAGCTTATGCTCTTTGAGTATGACCACCAAAATAACCTTTGAGTATTGCTTAAGCATCATTCCCCTCGCCAACATTTAGCCCGCCCTCCGCCTTACAATTCTAAATTGTGTTTTGGCACTGTGTGGGGAATATCTAACATTTGGGGGGAGGGCACATACACTGCTAGGGGGATTGTCTTGATTTTCCATAAGCCCCTGAATTCCCTTTGTGAACCCTACGCAGCCCTCTTTAGCAACTCGCCATCCTCATGACATGACAATGAACACTGATATTTGCCCTTCCAGATCCTATTTATGGAGACCCCTACATGGTGACCATCCAAAACCCTCGCTGTCCCAAGCTCTATAGTGCCCCTTAAGTAGATAGAATATGGCTCTGGGCCTATTAGAATAAGATCCCCATATACCCCATATTCTATCTACCATAATATGGCCACCATATACTATAATATACCATAATATACTATAAGATCCCATATTCTATCTACTTCAGGGGGACTATATACCCCACTCGACTCATCTCAACCTACTAATTTAGCCACCACCCAGCCCCCTGGACAATATCATGTCAGATGGAGGAGTAGGGAAAATGATCATTCATATGGCCCCCCCCCATTCTCTAAACGGGTCTCAGAACCCCACTAGAAGCTATAATTTCTTGGGGATTCTTCATGTTTTAATAACCAAAAATGCAAGAATATCTTGGAGACCCCTATAGTTCTATCTGCCGGAGAGCCAATAGCCGACGGCGCCCTGGTCGATCCAGGACGTCCCAGTCGCGCCAGTCGACAGAAAGCACCTGCAGTTTTCGAAACGGGAGAATCTAAACTCCGTTGGGTGTTCAGGATTCGCGGGTGGTGATGGGAGACTCCGTTCCTGCAGGCGCGACATTCTTACAAATGAGTCTATGTCTACATATTTAGCCTACTTTTGTGGGATCATCTTGTCATGGCGCTTTATGTTCCCTAAGGAAGGGCAAGTCCGTGAGCAAAAGTTGAACCCCCAAAACTACTTGATTACAAGGCCTAGGACCTCCTAGGCTCTCATAGTCCCCCTTAAGTAAATTGAATATAGGGGTCATATAGGACCTATATTGGGATAATGGAAAATAAAATGGAAACTGCTATTTAGGGTTTAGGGTTTATAGTCCCCCTTAAGTAGATAGAATACGGAGTATATGGTGGATCTTGTTAAACTATACCCAAAGCCGTATTGTATCTACTTAAGGTGGACTGTAGCCTTTAGGGCTTAGCGTTTAGGTTAGGGTTCAGGTTTACACGAGAACAAACTTCCTGGGCCTCTGAAGCAACAACTTGCTGAACGTCTGGCTAAAGTGACCGGAATTTCTACACCCCGAAGCCCGGAAGCCTTCATCCTCCCCAAACAAAATAGCACTCCAGGATCAGTATATCTTCCTGAGGTATCCGCTGTAGGGTACAATCCTACGCTTTAGTTGGCCTATAACTTTCTTTACTCAGCCCTTTTGCACTTTCGGAAATACTTGCTACCCGCATTAAACCCCCAAATGGCAATCTAGGAGTTCCCAAGAAAACACGGGGGCCCCACTTTTAGACCTAAATATATAATAATACTGATTGATAGGAATCCCAAGAAAGGGCCCCGAATTCGGGGAAACCTGTCTAGATCTCAGCCCCCCTGGGTTTAGTTCAGTTCCACACACCAACCTCTTTGCGTCCCAGAAGCCAAAGCCCCAAACCCAAAGCCCGCAAAGGCCTTTGCCCTAAACCCAAAGTGCTAAAACCCTGAACCCGAAATACTAGCCTCCATCGTTGCTTCGTTTCCTTCGCTTCCTACTAGCAACCAGCAAATTCAAAATTCTGAGCACCAATGGGATCCTATACTACATCGCCCTTACTTAGCCCCAAAACTCAAACGCCCATTTAGGCTCTCTTGAGGTGGGATAGTCAGGGGGTGTACTATCAAATCCCATAACTTACTGGTGGTTACTAGGGAGTAAGTTCGCAGTAAGGGAAAAATATGCCTATATATACTCGCTATATGATACTCCTTTATTCCCTACTAACCACAACCCCCAAACTCTATACACGTATATACATATATATATATATGTATTCCCTTCTTCCGAACGACTCACAAGTAAGATAGCAACTTCAAAATTGGTCTCTCCAGGCGCCTGCCATCCCAGGCGCGACAACAGCCTCCTCTTCAGCTGAGAAGGGCCAAGGAGGGAGAGCACTTCGCCTTGCTGAAATCAGGTTGTTTGAGCAATGTAGGTGTTTCCCAAAATTGGGGGGGGGTACCTTTTTTGGGGTACCCACAATAAAGAATACAATGTATTGGGGTCTATATTGGGATCCCCTTGTTTTGGGAAACTACCATGTACCCTAAGCCCCAAACCTTTTTTTCCAAACCCTTTAACCCTAAGGATGTAGGTGTGTTGCTGGGGTGAAGAGGAGATTGGGGCTCCTTTTGCTTGGGTTAAGGTCATTGAAATTTGGGATGAAGGGCTTCAGAGTCTTGTGTTGCTTTGGGACTTCTTTTTGGAGTTAAGGGTGCGCTAGGACTTTGCAAATCAAGCAGGATGTACCTGCAGTCCGCCCTGGATAGATGGAATGCGCACGCTATGAAGACTCTCTTAAGCAATTCGGTGTCCTGTGTTTTGTATGTACTCCTTAGCCGCCTTAACCCATATGGTGTTGTCAAAAAAATTTTGAGAAACTGCCCATATTGATCCCACTCTGCCTTGCCAACCCTCACGGGGCCCAGGCTTTCCACGTCGCAGGCAAAGTGCACAGGGCCATCTACCTGGTTCGAAACCAAGGCTTGCTGGTGCTTGAGGGGGCATGGGGGAGTGAATGTAGGGAAGGTGTATATTGGGATTAGACAGGTATTATTCCCTATCCCCTGAACCCTGAACCATTATTCTAGGGATCACAGCATTATGCTGCAGTGTTTGGTAAAAACTTGGAAAAATTAAAAAAAGGAATGACAACATAACCATGTTCTGATTCTTTGTGCGCCATGGGCTCATGTAAAAGACTAGCAACCAGCGTATAGTGCGAAAACTTCGTTGAAAAGCTGGGTTGTATTGGGATAATGGAAAATAACATGGCAGTCACTATAATGGGTTATATAGGGTTTAGGTTCAGGTTCTGCGAAATGCTCTTTGACCCGGCAGATTGAACCCACCACCGTACTCCACTGATTGCTGCAGTCGTTCTGAAAACGACATGTCTCAAATGATCCCTATATAACCCTCATATTACTATATTCAACACCACATAATTGTAGTTTCCTATCCCTATATTATATCTTTACCATGTAGCCTTGGGGTCCCAGGGCACCACATTATTAGCAACCAATTCCTGACCCCACACCGAAACACGTCTTCTGTTTAGCAGTCACAGAGAAGCATGGACAAGAAAATGGGAAATAGGATGGAGACAGTGTATACATATGTGTAGATATCTGTACGCATGTATACTGGTGTAGGAGGACTGTATTGGGTTGAGTTACCCCAATCCCCAAATCCGGACCCTATGACTATCATATGGCCCTTACAGGGTCCTCATTGTTCCCGTTCGGACATCCCTAGATGACTGATGTTGATTCTCCATGATGAGGGCACCCTGAATAAACCCTAAACCCTTAAACGCTGAAGCCAAATCCCTTAAACCTCTTGAACCCCAAACCTGCCTCGATCACGAGGCGCAGCTTTGGCAAGGCAATGTCCACCGCAATGCACTGCTCCACGAGTAGCTCATCCTGTCCACGCGGTTTAGGGTTTAGGATTTAGGGCTGTGCAGGCTTTGGGCAATGCTCCGAGTTTTGCTGCAAATGTGTTGTTGCACAGTGTTATGGGCCTTGGTGCGTCTGCTGCTGCATCGACACTGCACAAAGCTGGGACGACTTGAGACGTGATTCCAATCAGATAACCCTCTATTCTCACTCTTCAACACCGCATTGAAATCCCACAGAAGCTTTCATCACATTGGGGTCCGCTTGGCCCCAGAACGTACAAAATAAGAACCGCAATCAAAGACCCCTGATTTTGCACAACGCAATTTTTTTTGGTTCTTAGCAGGGAATAAGGAAACAGAAAGGACTGTTGTGGCGTGTATATAATGGTATTATATACGGATTATATTCCTGGATTCCCTCAAGAATCAATAAGTGAAATTCTCCATGTCCCTAAACCCTAAACCCTAAGCCCTAAAGCCCAAATCCCTAAATCCTAAATCTTAAATCCCCCTAAATCCCTGATCCCCAAACTATAATGAACCGCTCAACAAGAAAAGGTTCCTGAGGCCCGGACTATTACCAACTCGTTTGGGCCGCAAACCCTTCGGACCTGCTAACGTATGGGTTTAAGGGCTTAGGGTTTTTGGGGTTTAGGATTTAAGTTTTAGGGTTTTAGGGTTGGAGGTTCAGGGCTTAAAGGTTTAGGATTTTGAGGTTCAGCGTTTAAGGTTTAAGGTTTAGGGTTTAAGGTTTAGGATGTTCAGTTCAAGGTTTAGGGCTTTTCAAACCAGTGGACTTCTACGTCTGCCCGAAGGCACTGGTTGCTCCAAAGAACTGTCGACCCTGATTCGGCCTGTGGTGTGAGCATCTGCCACACAAGAACTTTCAACCTTTTGAGGGTTTAGGGTTTAGAGTTTAGGGTTTAGGGTTAAACAAAGTGTGGTCCATTTTTGTACACCTAAACATCAGGTCCTGAAATATAGTCCATAACCAAAAGGGGCCCATACAGATGAGAATAACCAAGATGTTAGGCTTCACATGATGTAGGGGACTATAGGGACCCTGTCCCCCTATTTGATTATATGATAGTTTGCCAGCAACATAGACCCTCAAATGCTCTAAGGATCATAGGGACACTCGAAAAAGTTGCCCCTGAGGTAGGGAAACTGGAAATATGGTGCATGATTTTGATCAGTATGCAGATCTCATGACTGCAGGTGCACAGGACACCAGTCCCCCGCGGTACGAGTACTCAATGCAATTTGTGCCTTGTGCTTAAGGAGTGGGAGCAGGAATACAGGCAGCATTACCAGGATGAGATAATGAGGAGAATAGGGATTTGCTTGCCCTTAAGCACCAGCAAGATTCCTGCTGATCTTGATTTTGTTGGCATGGCGATGTTGCCTCGCACTTTGGAAGAGGTCACAGGCCCGTATCAAGCCCTAAACCGTAAACACTTCAACATCCTAAAACCATCCCTGTACAATTGCCAAACCCATCCTGATACCTAACTTCACCCCCCACTCTTCGTTGAAGCCAGGCAGATTAGGAGCTTCACCAGTACCCAGCAACACTATTACTATTTCAACTACTATTGCTGTTACTATTACAGTTACTATGACTACTACTGTTGGTATTACTGTACTATTACTGTTACTATTCCTATTACTGGAGCAGACCAGAACTCTCCCCCCAGCGCCGAAACGCAGGGCACTAAAGCAAGACTATAGTTCCCCTTAAGTAGATGGAATATGGATTTGGGAATATTAGAAGAAGATCCCCATATACCTCATACTCTATCTACTTAAGGGGACTATATGCAACAGCCGATTTTCCCGCCATGACATGAAAGGCGATTTTCGTGGCAAGGGCTCATCCTTAAATCCTAAACCCAAAGCCCTTTTGCAACAAGCCTGGGGCAAAGCTCGAGGAAGCGGACTCCCTGATTTGACAAGATCCATGACTACCATCGTTGCAGGCGCGCCTCCTCTGAAACTGAACTGTGCAGCCTGGATGACCTGGGCAGTGGGCAGGTGTGGACTCTCTGCAACCACTCACAACCCCCTTCATATTAAACAGGCGAAGCTCCGCATTCGAGACTAGGAGGTGGCCGGGATTTCAAGAAAGGTGCAGCGTGGAAGATAACCAGCCTCCTGCTTGGTTTAGGGTTTAGGCTTCAAGATTAAGTCTTTTAGGGGTTAAAGGTTTAGGGTACTGAAGAGCTACCGGGCAAGAACGGACCTAAATCTTAAACCCTAAACTAAACCCTAAACTCTTACAACCGGAACCCCTAAAACTTAAACCCTAAGCTTTTAGACCCTAGACTCCTAACCCTAAAAAGTCGTTGTATCCTGAACTCATGCCCCAGGCCTTGGCCAGGAGTAACAAAGCAAGGGCTTAAAAGAAAAATGGAAACTACTGTATTATATAGTGCGCCAATAGTTACAGTAGACCAAAGAAAATGGAAACTACCATACTATATAGTTTCCCATGAATTACAGTATATCACCCCAATAGGTACCCTACTATTCACACATAACCCGGTTGGGCTACGCACCTATGGGGAGAAACGAGGAAAACGCCAACCTGCCAATGTTGAGTACGAGGCTGCCCTGCGTTTGAAATCCCTGAACAAGGCTGGGTTGCTGTTAAGGAACTTACATTAAGTCATCATAATATGTGTATATAGTCACAAATGGAGGTGTCTTCTTGTGGTAACTGAAGTTAAGTTCCTGAACAGCAACCCGGAAAAGGTCAACCGCTACAAATCCCTTATGATCAAATATTCAAGTACGAGCTCCCCCAAAACAAACATAGAAGCTGATGAGTCGTTTTTGTAGAACCCTTTTGGTCTTCCAGGCTCATGCGAGGTATAGGCCCCAGTTAGTAGATAGAATGTGGGACATATGGGGATCTTATTTTGATATGCCCAAAGCCATATTCTATCTCCTTTGGGGAATCTACACCAACCAAAGGCCCGACCCCGCCCTTTGCGTGGTCGCACGGCGCGTCGCAGCTTTCCGACTTCGATGAAGCCAGGGCTCCGAGAAGGCAGCGCCTTTTGCTTTCTGGCTGCTAGTAGGGAATGGAGGAATGCAACACACAGTGAAAACTACCATATTGAAGATAGGGGCTACCATAGGAGTCATGTCCTCCACTGTCTTCTAACAACCAGTGTGGTTTATTGATTGTTGCAATACGTACGAAGTACGATATGAACACTTGGAGTGAGGGTAGTTGCGTGAATAATCGGAGCAAGAAGAATTCTAGCAACAATGAACACCATAAGTCCAATCGGAAGCTATCCTATAAACCAGGAGGAAAACAGCCGCACGTAAAGGGGATATCGGCAAAAAGAAGCAACGGCATCGTAGCACCCAGAAACGGGCAGCAGCACCGCATAAAATTTGGGTGTTGAAGCTGCTCATGGCTTTGGGTTACTGGAGCTGATGACTGCCATGCCTCCATTCGACTTCGCCTCTAGGGTTATAAATGTACCCACTGGGGTTACCCGTTGGGGTAATGTTCGGGTTATATTAGGGTTATATTTCGTGCCTCCACTCGACTTCGCCTCCTGGGCGTACGCAAGGTAGGCAAGATACCTTGAGGGCTGCTGGTCAATGATTGCACTCAGCAAAAAGGCGTGTGACAAAACACGGATCTTCCACTAATTGCTGGCCAGAAGACGAAAAGCATAGAGGATGAGGAACAATTAGAACCAAAACATGCGAACGACAAGGTCTAGCCGACGAAGTTGCGCATTATCAGTAACACAAATGGGGCTGCTCAAAAGGTGACAGCATAATAGCCCTCCTCCGGTGTCCAACATAGCTTGAGAAGTTGAATGATGACCGCAACGACACGCAGCATGATGAACAACAATTCTGCATGCAAAGCAGAATCAAGAGCAGCAGCATCACCTGCCTAACCCCTGTTGTAAATCTACGCTTCTGCTTGTGCTCTAGTCCTGATCCTTCTCTCGTAGCACGGAAGCCTATTATGTACTGTTAGCTATCCGCTATTGACCACTCACTATTTACTACTATTAATCTCATTCTTACAATGAATCAATACTTTCTGCCGAGGTGCCACTGTCCTAAGTGTAGGTCTTGGGCTGCCTCGCCTTCTGCCTTCCCAGGAGAAACCCACGTCGACTTCCATCGTTGTACTGGTGTTTAGTTGGGAATAAGGGAATGTATGGGTATTTATATATAAATATATACATATGTATATGTATATAGGGTTTATGGTTAGAAGGGAAGAGGGACCATAATCCCTGTATAGTCCCTATACAACCCTGTATACGGCCTTCCCTTATTTCCTACTAAACCCAGCAAGTCTACTGGCGGAAGCAATCAAGGTTCCATGTCAATCCCAACAACCATGCTCCACCGTGATCCCTAAACCCTAAACCCTAAACCCGGGACCCTAAACCCTAAACCCTAAACCCTAAACCCTAGCCTCCAACAACTTCGCAGCCTCGCTGAGGAGATCCTGCAGGGAAAATGCCATGCGCTGAAAGCTTTGACCGCGGACGACCCAAATTTGCCACACCTCGTGATGCTCTCCCATCACTGCAGCTGCCCATGCCTTAGAGAGGCCAGAACAACTTTGTAAGCAATAATCCTGGAACCTATAGCCTCCCTTAAGCAGATAGAATGTGGGATATATGGGGATCTCATTCTAAATTATATATACCCAAGGCCATATTCTATCTACTTAAGGGGGACTATAACCCTGAACCTCAAACCCCTAACCCTAAACCCTGCCTAAACGCTTTGTGGATTTCTGTTCCAGGTCTCGTCGAGTGAGTTCTGCTCACCTGCCCTGCTTTGCCACCTACATGCCGCAAACCTCGAGCGCATGTCCACATATCTTATTGGTTGTTAGCTAGTAGGGAAAGGAGGGATGGATAATGGATATGGCAAAAGCCCTGAAAGGGCGCGCAATAATTTCATAGTTTCCATTTCCTTTTTCCATTCTTTCATTCCCTACTGAAAACAGATGAGCATTGTTTTTTTAAGGTTAAAGTCCTTATACTAAGATTGACTGCCTATGCGAACTACGCGGATGGCTGTTTTC